TGCCTCACAAACCGCAGTTGGTGCAGTTCTACAACAGGAGGTCAACGGTGAAATACAGTCCTTATCATTCTTCTCGCATCGCCTACAACCTGCACAGACTCGATATAGCACTTTTGGCTGTGAACTTCTCGCAATCTACTTAGCTGTTCGGCACTTCCGACATATTTTGGAAATTACGACAAGTGAATATTTCCTTTCACAGCCAGTTACTGCATTTGGATCCGTATAGTGGACTATTGGATCTACACATTCGTGAGTCCCCATTTGACAAACTCATTCCTTTCCTATTGTGATTTTGTGATTTTGTATTGGTTACTTTGCTTGTTAATTTATCCGAACACGTTGATGAGGTCCTGCTCCGGCACATATCTGGGTCTCCTGAAACTTGTCCTTCTCACTGCACCATGAAAAATCAGCCCAAATGCATTTGCCATTTTATGGATGATTCGGCGCACCTCCCCACGTATTAATCGCATGGACTTCCAAATACTCTATGGGGCCTACGTCGGACCACTCCTGGAATACGCCAACCAAGTTGTCTACTCAGGACGCACCAAAGACGTCTCCCTCGTTTAGCGTGTTCAGCTAGCCGCTACGAGAATTGCTGCTCGCCTCAAATCCGTGGACTACAAAATCCCTCTTGCGATGCTTGATCTCCTTCCCCTAAAGAACTGTCGCCTCCGAGCCGACCTAATTCTTACTTATGCCCTTTTGGACAAACCTTGGCCAACAGGTTTTTCGCCGTTGACCCAGCAAACATGGCGGGGACGTGTGGAAACGTTTTCAAGCTCAGACTGCACACATTTATTAGGCAGAATATTTCTCATTTCATATAGTTGTGCGGAATGACCCCCTCCGACGGTTTTCCCTCTATAACCCTGTTCAAAGCACTACTAAACATTTTTTTATGCGAATTCTCGCGGTGGCAAGCATACTGCCTCGCGCTGAGAACATAAAGAGCAGTGCTACACTTTTTCTTCACTTGTGCCTTTCAGGTGAACTACAGCTGTTGAACGACAAGGGCAAAACCGATCCCGGAATCTTGGGCAAAAGCCTCGAGCCTGTATATCAATCCGCGAATCGGTGAATGTCTCTACAAGCGCAAAATGTTTTCAGCTTTCGTAGTATAGCGCCACTACTTTTATAGTACGGTGCAGCTATATCATGACCCCAAACAATTAGAGCTTGTCATGGCGAGTGTAGCTGAATTAATATAAAAATCCCGTTCGCATAATTAATCAGTTAGGAAATCTGGTGGACGCGGAATTCAACTAGGCGATTCGGTCAGGTCCATGGTCACAGTGATATGGAGACTTCAGTCTTCAAAACCTCTTTTGGAACAACGCCTGCTTGAAAATATTTAGTTTGTCCTTTTTCCAGCATCAGCAGTTAGCAGATTCCAAACAGCGGACATATTTCACTTTCTCTGCACACGGATCGAAAAATGAAGTCATCTGCTTCACCGACAATTACAAAGGCACGATTCCACGGGGCGTTACCGTGTTTCTGTCTCCAGGACCAATGCGGGGATAGATTATAAGGCCGCTCTCAGTCCAGTGTCAGCTGTAAGAAAACCAGTTCAGTTTGTGTCCGGGGTTAATAAACAGAAATCCTCTTTTGCAGTAGGGTATCTCAAGAAGGGCCCGCTTAAGTTAGATGAGTCGGCATTTCGTATGCTGTCGACATGGATATAGATGCATCTTCTGGGTTCATAGTTTCTTTAAAGACGGCGAACCACTCGAAAAAAATCCTGGGTGCCTGCACTGTTTAAATTTCCGGACACTATTTTATATCGCCTACGTGCACCAAGGAAGTTAATCCGGGGATCTTGAACAGACCCTTGACGGATACAAGAAAAGAGAACTATTAGATACCATTAGGATGAGCATTCTCTGCAAACATGGCTCCTCCGTACCATCCGAGAAAACCTGTAGCCAAAGAGGAAGCATTCATGTGGGTGTATTGGTACAAATAATTCCGATGAACGGTTTATAAAAAAGAACGCGCGAACTTTCCTGCCAGATTTATCTTTTTCCAAGGTTTCTGGCGAATGCCTGATGTTATTTCCTCCATGAATTTGTCAGGAGTATAAGCTTGACCAACCAGGCGATAATTCACCCATAAATTTTTGCTGCTCGATCCGAAAGTCAGACTGAAGACTGTACTCCTTCACTCGCGAGGGATCTCACACGTTTTTCAGTGGAAGGGCATACATACTCTGGGGCATAAATTAACAAACCAATGAGTCATAAAATTTTTGAACGAAAGTTTCAAGTATCCAGGTTTTGTAACACCCGAAAAGGTGAATCTCCGGACTCGCGGGCCGTCTGGATGATATACTGGAAGGTTTTGGCCCTGAAACCAGAGCATTGCTGATGTGCTTCCTCCAGTTATGCTAATGCAACCAAACTCCTTCATATTCTCGGTTCCAGCGAGAACCGCGAAATGTATAAGCACCCGAAGTTTCCCAGCTTTGATCAAAAGAAGAGTGCTCTCAAGCTTTTGGCAATACTCAGGCTCCCACGCAGGATTGTTAACCTCCAGGAACCCAGCGCCTGGTTTCCTCAAGCATGAAAACATAACAGGGATGCGAAGCCTGAATCAATCCTGAGATCAGCTGACCGCACATTATCTTGGTAATGAGGCTTCAAGTTTTTTCACTGCCTTCCTCTACCAGAAAATGTGGTAAACATTTTCCTTCAAGTGTATCCAGTTATTTTGTACGAAGACCGCCAAATGCTGCTGAGGATTAGATGGTCCCATCTAACAGGCCGGACGTCGCAAAAATACCAGCCGCCTGCGCTTGATGTTAGCCAGGCCCCCAGCCTGTCCAATGTGGGTAAAAGAAACGCCACCGCCCAAATGGATTCGGATTATTTCGTTAGCTCTACACTGACGACGGCAGTCCACGGTCTCCGTGACAGATTGTGGCACGATATGTTTAATTTGCAAAAGGAAAAAAGTCCAAGGTCGACGATTTAAAACCCAGCGTAATCTTAGGATGGATGCGATTGTGCGACCCAGCAAATGAAAGCCCAGAGGATCTTTGGTAAGAATAGGAGAGCGGATTTGCATGAACTGATATGGGAGCGCGCTTTTCAAATGTTGACCCTGAGACTTGCACGCCTTTTGGTGGGTTGATTGTGGTCATACTTAGCGACATATTTAGCGGCATATTAGCGGCAAAATGACTAAGTCACCTGACGCTTCAAAACCTGTTGTTGGACATGTTGAGGAGGGAAGAGCCAGGATCATCCTGCCCGAAGGTGTTTTCTATAATCGTGTTCAGGAATTCAATCGTGACATCACCGTCGCTATGCTACAACAATATCAACTGGTGCACCAAAGTGAGTGGATTGAACGCAAGCACCGGCATATGAAACGCGGTTCCGAACATACTTGCGTTACCTACGATGGTCTAAGAATTCTCGAGGCCTTGTCCGCCACTGGCATCCGGTCTGTCCGTTTCGCCTTAGAAGTCCCAAAAGTTGCAAAGATAGTGGCTAACGATCTGGATGCGAAGGCGGTTGAGTTGATTCGGAATAACGTAGAACTCAATGGCGTTGGAAAGCATGTGGATGTCACATGTATGGATGCAGTGGAATTGATGCGTAAATGTAAAACATTCACTGAAAGGTAGGTAGTGTTGCATATGCTATGTTACATAACGGGGCAATTACTTCTATTCCCGTTGATATTTAATTTCTGCCTGTAAAATGTGGTTTGATCTGGTTGGAAACTGTTCTATGTTGCTAAGCGGCTTTGTTTGTATCGTGCCCGTTATGTGGGCCAGACGTCTACGGGTATGATACCCTATGTTTAGTGTCCGATGTTTACTGTATTTTCTGAATTAGAAGACTGATGGTAAACCACTACGTTTAGGTCCGATGAATTCTCGGGACGCTCGTGTGAACTGCTCCATAACTAAGGATAGAGTGACCGGGAAACTTCCCATAGTACTAATGGTACGTACCAATATCCGACATTGCTGTCCCATACAGGAGAATCGCAGTAAAAGTTAGAAGGAGGGACACTTAAATAGAGGCGGAAGGGCGCTGGTGGATTTCGAACCCCAAAGAAAAGGGGGCTTCCGGTGTAGTAAACGATAGCATCCCGTTTGAACCGAACGGATCAATTGACCAGAGGGAAATATCCGTCAGTGCAATGATTTGTGAAGAGAAAAGGTCAGCAGTTCGAACTACTTGGAATGAATACGATACAAACACGATGGTGAGCTTCGACGATCATTCCAGTATCCCTAATGAGCATAGGAAGTTCGTGTCACCGGTGTGTCGGTTATATCCAAGATGTTTTCCGGCATTGTCTCGTGCGGCTTGATAGGTTATCACCCATAAGCAATGTGTCAAGGGTACGTTGGTTCCAGGTCCCCGGAAAACCGGAGAGCGTTGGAGATATAGCCAAGCATTAGCGGCATTGGTCGGTTGGTTTCAACTATTAAGGGCGATAGTTTTTATTCACGAGCAAGACTGACTGTGACTGGGTCGTGTCTTTCAGTGTCAGTAACCGTAGATGTATTGAGTCCCGGGGTCCCTATCCAGGGAGGCGGTAGTTGTCAGCCCGAACTGATTAACGCTTTTATACTTCGTTGCCAGGACATAGATCTGCACCTCTCGGTCGCTTCTTCTCAGCACAAGGTTGGGCGAGATGAGTTGTGCAAAACAGACGGTCCTCTGGTATGCAGAATACATGTTTTAACCATCGCAACATGTGAAGCGTGAGTCACTCATCCACCTTGAGAGAGTTCCTTTTTCCCAAGACCACCAGCATTGCTAATTTAATGTCCTCATCAAACTCTGTTAGTAATTTGTGGACATCGATGACCAAAGAATGACCGTTTTCTTGCATCTTGTACTTGTAAAGGCCACGTTCTCATCCATAGGTCGCACTATCGCTGTTCGACGCCATAGATATCGGAGGTTACGAAACACTGCCATGGCCTTCCCGATTCGAGGAGTAATCTCGTCTCTAGCCAGTACGCCGGGACTTATACAACTGTCCAGGTAAACAAAATCAACTGCCACGCTTATCGGCTTATCTGCAAGCATGAGGTTTGGGTTCGATCCCACCCACTCTTGTAGCAGCATTTTGCACTTCGCAGGTTTGAAGAGCATACCAATCCATGCGGCAGAATTATCTGGGTTATTTGAAGTGATAAGCATTTCTGAAGGATCTGTACCAAGGACAGGAATACCGTCCTTCTCGGAGTCCCCATGCAGGAAGACTACAGTGACCAGCACAGCTGAGTTTGCTGGTAATGGTTTTCATACTTTGCTGCCAAGTCGTTGTTTGACTGCCTCTGGCTCTCTTCCACCCTTCACGTGGTTATGCGAAAAGAGCCCTTCGAGGAAGTCGGTCGACTGGCATACGCAGTACGTGGCCAAGCCAGCGCACTCTATGCAGTGTGACCAGCTCATCTATCGATGGTGAGTTATTTCTCCGGAATACCCTTCAACGAACTTCAGAATTGCTGATCTGGTGTCCCCACCAGATTCGGGCAATGCTCCGAAGACATCGATAGTCAAATACTGAGAGTCTTTTGACGTCGTCAGCGCGCAACGGCCAGGTTTCTGATTCGTGTAGTAGTATGGAGCGCACCGCAGCATTGTAAACTCGACCCTTGATGGATAGGTTGATGTGACGCCTATGCCAAAGGTGACGCAGGTTCACAAAAGCTGCTTTGGCCTTGCCAATCCGGATGGAAACATCATTTTTCGCGAGACCACCAGGACTGATACAGCTGCACGAATAAACACATCTGTCTACTACCTCAATCGGTTCATCCGCAAACATGAGGCTAGGGTTTGAGCCCACCCAGTCTTACAGTAGCACTTTACACTTTGCAGGTGTGAAACGCATGCCAAACAGTGAGGCTGAATTTTTTTAGATTATTCAATATTGTTTGACTTACCACGGGTTCAGTTCCAAGAAGAGCCATGCCGTCTGTCAACGGACGCCCCGGGAGCACTTCGACCCCACAGACATTGAAGGCTAATAGTGAGTCTTGCATGGTCGTATCAGTGACGAAGTTGCGGAGGAAAGGTGAAAGAGGACAGCCCTTTCTGACGCCAATTAGTGTGGCCAACTCAGAAAAGAGCTTCCCGTAAACTTTCACACGGCCGCGGGAGTTGGCGTACAGCGTCACCAGGGATTTTCTGCTCTCTTTGAAGAGAGCTGGATGCAAACCGCCGGATCCAGGTGCCTTCTCACGTTTCCTTACGGATATTTCATACTTTACTCCTTCCAACGAGCGAACATGGTTTACATTCCATTCATCCGTATGCACTCTTGTTAAGTTTTGCTCACGCAGCGAGCAAACGACATTATGTGCAGACTGTGACGATATTCTATCCCCATCTATGTTGCGTGGTCCCGACTCTTAGTATAGCAGAATAAGAGAACGAAACCTTGGACACAGCTGTAATGCTCCGAACAACAGGTAATTAATAGATGATCACGAAAAAATGACAATATATATATATATATCCATAGTTAGCACACAAAGTTGCCGAGTTTTTGGGAATATTGATATCTTCAACAATTCTTCAAAGGCTGTGTTTCAGAAGGCCAGTTAAACTGTCCTTCGAAGTGTTCGGCCCATCCTTTCAGTTGACGTTTTTGCGGGTGTATTAGTAAGCCGCCTTTTTCACTTGTAGTTTCACCGGCCGTTGCTTTCCTAGGACCAGTCAATCGTATCAATTTATATAGGACACGGTAGCAAAAGCCTTCTCGATCTCACAAACTTTCGATGTCCACCAGAGCTCTCGGTCTTTTCTTAGGCTCTTCACTATTTGGCGTTTGAGGATACTGTCAAGGCGCCCTTACGTAGACAGAAGGACTATTAAGATCCTGAACCGAATACTTTGGCTCAAAAGCCTGATCGCCAAGCGGCTGTTTTTGGCGGGAGATGCATGTGCATTTCAATTTTTACAAAACAAACCACCACAAATGTTCCAACCTCTAACCTGGACAGCCAGATGGCTGTGTTGGTCAGACTTCTAACCCAACCTGAGATGAGGGAGTCTGGGTGTCACAAGAACCCCTCCATGTGGCACTTTGGGTCACGAAAGCACACAAACCATCCCGCTACAGTAAAGTCCGGTTTATTTTCGATGGTCTTGACTGTGCTGGCGCTTCCTGCTCTTCCACCGAACTACATTCACGAAAACTGACGCAGGAAAGATTTCTTCTAAATATTGCTTTTAAATACTTCCTCTGCTGCTACTGACGTTCTTCCACGGAAGCGCGTGAAAGTCAGCTGCCTTGATGAGACGGCTTTTTCCCTTTGGATCTAAAAGTTGCTACCTTGACTATCCAGTTTGTGATGTCCTTGCACATAACAAAGGCGGACTACGGTGTCTTGGGTCTCGGGTTCAGCGGGTTGACTGAAAGGCGAGTAAAGAGGTGGATGACCCATCAAACTGTCGAAATCGCTCCGCCCAGCATTCAGGGGGATGATTTTTGTGTGTCAAATCCACAACATATCATCACTGCAGGCGGTTTACTGGATCCTCTCCTGTGCTTGAAGTGGAACAATTCCATTATGTATCCAGCTACACTGGCTTCTTCCCTTTAGGGAAATGCTCTTTAATTCTGTTCGGTTTTTCTGTCTGCACGCAGATACACCCCTGGGTTGATACCCAGCAAACCTAGGTGAATTATTCTCAGTATCCTAAGAGATGTTACTAGCATCAAGTAGGAACTGTGAATTTCCTTATGTCAGTACTGAATAGGTTAGTGCGAATGGGATTTCGGTCACTAATGGGACAGTGGTTATCTCGCCCCATCTAGAGTTTGTCTTCTCAAGATGCAGCCTTCAAGGCTTCACTTAGGCTGTTTCGATGTTTGCTTAACGTGCGAATCAAAAAATTTCTCCGTCGCTTACTAGTCAACTTGCTTTGTTTTTGGAGGGAGATTCGTTGAAGGTGGTCCGAATCCACGTGAGTATTTTAGAAAGATCGACAAACAAGCTTTGAGCCTTGTTATCACTCGCCAATGGCCACATGACCAGTCTGGTTTTATAGTTGATCACTAGTGGGGGACACCGAGTAACGTAATAGTGCCTACTGTATTTAAATCCAGTGCTACTGGAGGATACTTGGTACTCTGTACGTAGTTCTACCACTACCATTATTCTTGAGTCTAAGCCAAACGGATCACCGGGTTGCGCCTCCAGTGAGATGGAACTCCCTGCTATTAGCTAAGATTACTTGGGAGTTCCTTATGAACGACAGCAAGGTAATGGTCTACGATAAAATTTACTTTTTTCCATCGAAGAGGTACAGCTCGCTATTAATGGACAAAAGCTGTAAATAAGGGACGACTGGGTTTTCGAATAGTGCGGATGCCTTTGGAAGTTGACAGATGAACAACAGATTGATGGCTATTTACGGGCATCCAGATAAATAGGGAGGCCTCAGGTTGGTAACTGAGGTCTATAACGACGGAAGCCGTAACTGTGTAGCAAGAAGTCATCACGACCACCACGTGTTTCGGAAGTAGGCTAAGGGCCTCCGGTTGCCTAGTTGCCATTCCTGTGTTATCTAGCCTGGTTGTAAGTCCATAAAACCCATGACCTACTAAGAAACTGGGCCCGCCGCATCAGGGAGTGAAGTAGCCGTACTACAGTCTGGTAGCCGCCACTCTACCTGTCGCGCGCCTTTCCTCAGTTCATCAGAGAAAACTTCCTGGTACTACGCGAAGTTCGGCGAGGCCCCCGACGTTGCCCACTACCTTGAAATCGTCACCTTATTGTCTCGTTCCGCTCACACTCAATCATTAGTTCTTGTACATAGGTTTTTTGTTGTCATTGATGCCTGTGTAGAAATCAAGTCGTTCAGTTGTAACACCCTTCTGGTGGCTAGCTGCCATACCACCTAAAGGAAGCACTAGGGCTGGGATACTGCCTGGTTGCCGAAGCCTAGACATGAGAAGTCGAGAGGTTCCAACTACGGACATTCTGGTCAGTAAACTCGCGTTCTAACCACTCGAGCCATCTTACCCCATCCTTGGGATTTTTCGTACCGTTCACAGTTTCTGGTTGACGTGAATGCCAATTTGTCAGTCATGCCACCTGTCGCGAGAAACGCACTATTTTCCACGGGTCCGTCCGTTTCTTTTCGATTGAACTCACGAATGTGTTCGATAGATTGCACACTGAGTATTCAGGGCTCACTCCACGAATGAGCTTTCGGCTGTGACAGCGCACTTCAAGCAACAGAGCCATGCGTTGTCGCGTTTATCAGCTTGTATTGGAAAAGATTGTAATGACAAAAACCGAATTCGAACAAATGTAATGTTTAGACTTCTTCAAACTGATTATTGGTCTGTGGGCGTTGTATATTGTCCCAGGTTATACCAGAGATTGTCACACTAGCAGGGGCTACCAGGTGGCTATCTCGTCACGGGTATGTGCCAGAAACCATTGCAGTATGGAAAGCATTCACGTGTCCATTGAAGTCGATCTCTTCCACGCTTGACAGCAGATCGGGAGGGGGAGAATTGGAACCCCCTAAATACACTGTAATTACTCTTCTGGGAATTTTCAGATTTTTCGGACTCATGTAGCCTGAACAACTGCGCGTAGACATTTGGGGTTCGCCCCTCAGTATGTGCTAAGAACTGGAGTTCTTTCTCCTTGTTTTTACGGTGTCCCTCTCGAAAATTCAATGTTTGTCCCGTTGTTTTTGCGCCCTTATGAGTTAATACGTCATGTCGATATCCGACTTGTCCTGATGCCTGTTTTTCGTTGTCAGGTTCAATGTCGTTGATATCGATCCTTATGGAACTGCCAGTCCGTTTCTCGATTCGGCAGTCCAGTGCCTACATGATGGTGGTCTTCTCTGCGTGACATCAACAGATGCTGCTGTATTGTGTGGAAGCACCCCAGGCACCTCAATGGGCAAGTACGGAGGCTTAGCTATCAAAAATAGTGCAGCTCATGAAACGGTTCGTTCTTCCAATTTCATTACTCATATTTCTCAATTTTCTCGAATTTCACAACTGCCGAAAGGTAGTCACCCATTGTTTTAGATGCTGGGTAACTACAAACGAAGATCCCAGCTACTACAAGGCAGTGTACTATTTTCCATTGAATTAATGACGGATACCCTTGTGCGCACAAAACGTCTTTCTTGAGTTCCCTTAGTCTAACTTCCCCTGACTGTACGGACCAATCAGTCCGAAAACCCCTGATGCTAAGCGCTATCTAGTGTATGTGACCCAATCCGTCACAAAGAGACTAGATATTACTGTGGCATGTGCCCTCATGAGCCATTGAACTATACTGGAGGCTACCCGTGCAACACTCAATCTCTCATATTGGATTGACCAATAGTTAGAGGTCGAGCCGACACAGTCTCGTGGTCCATTAGTTTGGAGCTGAGACTTGTGTGCCGAACTGTGTTCAAATAAAGAAAAATTAAACGCACTGGCATTTCTTGGCAAACACCGGTGCCTTATGGTCAGGATTTTGACCCAAAGGCCTTGGTTGAGTACCCTAATCATCCCTCAGTCCGGGTTTTGGCACCCTTAGTTTCGAAGTCTTCGTATAGCTATGGTTGTCTCAGCCAGAAGTCGCCCCGCGTCACATCGGCTGTTGCTTGCTGTCATCAGCTGGGGCTCTTTATTTGATACTTAGAGCAGAGTGAGCAAGCGAAAACGGCCTACCGATAATGCTTTCCTTCCTCCTTCACATACATATTCTCCCCCCACCCCACTGACAGTGCTTTTCCTGTAGGCTCATCTGCTAGGACTGACACGCCATCCCTTTTGCATTGGTCCTAGCCGTGATGACTGCTCGTCAGTCGACGTCGACAACCTCAGGCGCCTAAAAATCAATATTCGAGTTTCGGCACTCGGTTTTTTGACTGCCTCTAAAGCAAGCGGGTAAACAGACTACATTTATTCGTAATTGCTCGCTTGAAACTAGTGTATAATAATAATGGACGCTCAACAGTGCCTGGTCGCCGTCCCACCCAAAGGAATTACGAGGACTGAGGTACTGTCAGATTGCCTAAGCCTAGACAAGAGCAGTTGAGCTGCCGAGGTTGGGGTCGGATCATGGACCTACCGGTCAGTAAGTTCGCGCCTCAACCACTGAGCTACCTCGAGATTGAGTCGGTGACGAAAATTTAAGATTCAGTTACCATCATTTAGTCAACTGCTCCACCACTCTGACAGCTTCTCATCATAAACGGGAAGTTGATGGGTGTCTGTATGTTGTTCCTTCTTCCTCCCAAATGACTGGTAGCTCCAACATCATCGGAGAGGGCTTTTGGAGTGTACTTTGGCGGTAGGCTAAAACACATCTTTGGGGTTGCCTGAGGCCTTTAATTCACAAGTGAGTGGACTTAGTGCATCGGACTCGGCTGGGTGGTCGACTTGGATTGGACTCAAACAGGCAACGTGAATGACTACCTCAGCTGTGTACTAACCACAGACTTTATGTAGCACTACCTTCAAAGCAACCAACATCGTCTCATCACATGGTCTCCTCCAGGTGTGTGCCAAACAGGGACCTAAAGTGATCACATCCGATGGTGCTGATTAATTGCTGACTGTCGCTCGTTTTGGTACACTCGGGTGGATTCTGGCAGCGTACTTGCTTCACTACTCGCTTTTCAGTGCTCCGTAAGGGGTAGGTAACTCGTTCAGCACCTGAGAGGCTCACAACTATCGAATTTGAACGAAATTTCAGAATCTTGGCTTTATTCTAACTGCTCTATGATCGGGTGTCCATTCGCACAAAACGGGATCGCCATATCTTTGCACAACTCCGGGAGATTCGTCTGAGGCATGTTCGTGCCGGCACCACTAGCACTAGATGCTAGATGAAAAAGTAGTACTGTTTGAATCCAAGAGAAATGTCTCTCGAATATTATCCAACTTGGTGAATTATCAGGCTTCAAGTGAAACTTAGCGTACCCGCCGACTGAGTCCTGGTGGACACGGAATGCTAGGGAAATGGGGGAAGCGAGGAATGTTGGGAATGCCCGAAAAATACTTCTGTTGATCCTGAAAACCGTGTGAGCAGATATATTAAGGATCGAACGGGCGCGACTATCTATAATGAAGGAGGACATCTCGACCGCTGAGTCGAGCATTCTGGACAAAAGGTCTTGTGGCCACCTGTTACCACTACCGAATTCTTGAACTGTGCTACAACCCCCGACCATAAACCCGGAAATCCTAACGCTCTCAGAGGCTTATGACTGCAGTTCCTCAAATGCCACAGAGTTCCTGTTTCAAATGAGCTCCCACCTGCACCATCCGAGGGTAAGGATGAAGTCCTCAGTCAGCGTATGCTTGATCCATTTGCCCCCCATTTGGGAAAGCTAGGGTGCCCCAGACAAACGGGAAGAATACGTAATAACACCTATTTTCAATGAAAGGTGCGAACGAATGTCATAACGACAGACGGATCGGCTTGACTCCAGTTGTAGCGAGACTCTTTGCGCCACTTGTCCTTCATCGCCTTATGATTTCCCGCAAAGGAATAACATGAGTACGGGACTTCTGCTTGAACAGAGACGATCCAGTTAGTGACCACTCTTGATCTGGAAACGAAGCAGGAAAGCCCTTACAAGTGTAATCTGTGGAGTGTGACCAGCTGATGGAAACCAGGCCTTTCTATGGAGAGTTACTCACTGCCCACTTTGGTTCGGGTGGTGGACACAAGGTGACAATTGGTACTCAGCATATGCCAAAGTTCGTCTAGTTGCTCGCTCCACACACGCGACGTACCCTAGGCACAGACGTATGGCCAGCCGGTACAAACCATCACTCCACTGGGCCCATACAACGATGTTTACAGAAAGTCACTTCTAGCCCTCTGGAATATGTATGATATTAAGGCAACACTTCGAAAACAAATAACAACAGCCTAGCAGTTAAATCCAACGCTGCTTGCTTCGGACAGAATCGGGTACACATTACATTAGAATACTTCCGCATAGTGTTCTGTAGTTAACCATAGTTTCACTTGATTCCGTCGTTTACAATGGCTTCGAATTTCTGAAACTTTCCTCATTGGGTGTGGGTTCACGGGAATACTTGGGCCAAACGAGAGTGATTTTGATATGAACTCTACAGATCCCGTCACCACCTACGACTGACCTTCGAACTGACGAACGACAGCTCATATCGCCCGTGTAGTCCTTTCACGTGATTCCACTTCCAATTTCACAAGATACACATCAGCAGATTTTGGACTTGACGAAAGTTGGAGTTTTTGTTTATCGGGGTGCTGTTTCTCTGTATTCAAATGACCACCTACAGGCCGTTTCAGAATTCTGTCTGCGTTCCTTCGGAAAGCATGTCTCAGCCAGCGTAGGTGGTTGAATGGGATCTTAGAATCCATTCCATCACAACGCGTCCATCGGATGACCTTGGTGTCCGGTACTCGTTCGGTTCAGTGGACATCAATTATTTGTGTCTGGCAGTCCATATGAAAGCTTCTTAAGTATCTTAGATAGCACCGGTACATGGCCAATGTCTCAGTACCGTACAGGAGGACAGATGGAGCCACCGATTTTCGGACGTGAACCTTGGTCTCCATTTACATGCCACTGCCAGTCCTTAAGAATGGGCTTACAGAAATGAGGGGGGAGAAGAACATTTATGTGAATGAGAAAGAGGGGAGGCGTAATCAGTAGCCCGTCCTGCTGTATACGGGAAGTAGGGCGACTCGGTCGATGGGGTGAGATTATTGTTAGTTGTGAATGTCATGGATGTACATGGGAGGGAATATCGCCAGGGCGCTCAGACCTAGACATGGGAACGATTACGGTCCTCAACAAAGCCTCTGACTCAAAAGCTTGATCACAGGTCAGCGATGGTTGGCGTAAGGCCATCAAAGCAGGCTACACTTGTAACTAGCAAGTCGCCACCAATCTTCCAAACTCCACCCTGGGGGATCAGGAGACTGTTAGTCATACCTTCGCTAATCGGTCAACCTGGTGTGCGAGGCTATGTGAGTGTCAAATGTCCACTTACGGTATAGCTCAATACGGTTATGGAGGCGTTCAAACCGTCGCACCACGTAAAACCCAGTCTCTTCGTGACGGGAGCTTGCCTGTGCATTCTCATGCCCCTGGTGAACTTTTGTTCTTTTCCTTTGCCTAGTAGTATCCTTGCATTCCATTGGAACTTCTTTCTCCTGCCAGATCATGTTTATCAGTCTATAGTCCAGCCATCATACTTCACCGGTTCCTTGCCATATCTCCGACATTTGGAAGAAGATCCGAGGACATCTCTTTGCGGTGGCCTCTGCGTTGCATTCCAGTTTACTGTTGTCGGTCGATTCATCAGTTCTTATGAAGTACTTGTACCACATACCCAATATTTCTGCAGGTGATGTCTGTTTCAGCCGTGTATAAGCGTAAGGAAGAGATCGGCGCAGTTTGTTGTTCGGCTCATAAATGGGTCTCAGACAATCGTAAAATTTTTTGGGCCGTCGCAGGGGGACGAATTCTTCGGTTCCTCTAATCATTAATGCGGCTGAGTTCCCGGGTCAGGTCATTTTCAGCATCTTCTATCTACTGTTGCTTGTCTCCGCTGTCTGGATGGACAACAGTATCGGCAAGGGCTTCGTTTTTCCCAACTAGTAGCTGGTTCGTATGTTGACTGTTGTCGCCAAGCCAGTCAGGGCATCTCGAACGCCGTTGCCGAACTCGATTGGCAGTAGTCGTCATCATCTGGTGTCTCAGTTTGTGCCGCGCTTCTGCCAGTGGTCTGGATAGATTGAAGAACGCCTGTGCAAAGGCCAGTTGTTGTTGCTACACCAAATTGATTTTTTTAGTCCTTGAGACGTTTTCCGTCGCCCCTGATGCTCTCGCTGGTACAGTTTGCTCTGTATGGTCGATGAACCTGGGTTTAAAGCTTCGTTAGGACAACCTAGTGTTCTTTTCCACAGTCGGTTCTTCTGGAACATCTCACCGGTTAGCGATAATAGAACCCAGTATATGATAATAGCCACTGACTGGGTACGTCCAGACGGTATTGTGTTCTTGTTCGAGGCGAACTATCGTGTGCTGGGTAGCAAGCGCATGAATTACTCAAAATCAGAGTAGTCTATCACCGTTGACGTCCACAGTCTATAATACCATGATGTCCGAGAACGCCTGGCCGCAGGGGTTAATCTCAATCAACATGTGAGTTAAAGTCTCCCAGCAATAGGTTCTTGTCGGCTTTCGTTTGAAGTAGCTTATCAATTTCAGTGGAGAAGTTGCTTTTGTGGTCGTCTACTGAACATAGTGTTAGAGCCTATTTGCTGAGTGTAGTCACGTAGATCCAGCATGCCAATCTCGAGTGCAGCAAAGTAAAAACGAGAGAACAGTACAAATTAATAATGCACATAGCTGACCAGAGGGTGCTTCAACAATCCTGTTCGTGCTAGTTCAATGTTGTTCTATCTTGATGAACACCAGTATGTTTTCACACTCATATCACTGACGGTAAGGTCACTATTCGTTTCCGTCGGAGGTTTCTTTCACCAATTTTGTTCAATCTTCCGATGTCGTCGATATGTTTCGCGTCTTGAGTTCATTTATGTTCGCCACCACAATATAAACTCTATCCTGTTCGCGCAAACAGAGCTTACGGATTCTGCTTCACGCGATTCAATCGGCTGCCAGTCGCTTCGGGTGCGTAATCGAGCCACTGTTGTCGTTATCAGTGGATTTCTACGTCCGCGTGTTCGTTCGCGTTTGGGCGTCTCCAGGCTCAGTGAAAGCGATCGCCGCGAAGCATGCTATCTGCTTCAGTTGTACTGGTTGTACAGTGAGTAATCTAGCGTTGCTGTTTTCTATATTGAACCAACTCCGTGCGTACAAATATGCTGTGATTCCAGTTGATATATAAAAAGTGAACGCGTACTGGTAAGCCTCAGCCATAATATTTAGTTGGTGGTTTTACTGACTGACGTGCCATAAAATAAAAAAAACGGCAGCATCAGCTGTGGTGTAGGTTCGATACTTCAACCTGCGAAGAAGACGAAAGGTGTGCCTGACATTAGTCTTGGTTGTTTGATCCGTTGTTTTGCTAAAAGATTGGACACTGACAGATTGGCCGAACCCGTGTGATAGGACAATCACAGGCCTTGCCTTGAAGCATTCGCTCGTAAATCTCAATTACAAGGTGGTAATGTTCAGTTTAAATCTTCAAGGGACGAGTTGCTGTGTGTTTTAACCTTGTGCAACAAATAATTCTGAGGTTATGTTTGTTATATCTATGTGCACATGTGTACCACAACCATGAAGTTGCACTCCCCATGTAAGTGTAATTCATAATATTCATGAGCATGGTTGAGGCTACTATATATGTAATAGTGTGAGGATACGGTGGGCACCTACGGATTAGCAGATGGTCCAGGCCATCGATGCGATGCACGTATCGGAGTCGGATATGTGGAAGTTGGTCAAAATATTGGAATTCATTAGGGTGGAATGCTGGCTTGAAGATAACTTAGCGCCTATGGGGCAACACCGAGATACCGTTGAGACAGTTTGTTTGTACCGATGCACCCTAGGGGTGGTATAGGAAGTAAGGATAAGACATATTCAGCGTCTGTGCCAGATTCTGTGGATTTCAGAGGTGCTTATTCAGACAAAGTGTAACCTTTGCTGAAGATATAGGCGGAATGATGTGCATTGGGCAATTGGTATACTATTTCAAATTCAACGCCCTCGGACTAAAACGTAATATAGACTCGGTCTACCTTGTGTTAGCTTCCTCGGTTCCGGTTACCGTGCGTTCAGTTTTCTGAACTACTAATTTTCCTGTGATTCAATTTTAAGTATGAATCCTGCATCTAAACACATTCTTCCTAATCTGTCCCACGGTCTTCTTTTCAAACCCTCGTTTTTAGGATCTGTTGGTCCAGTTTCAACTTCCTCTGATGCAACAAATAATTCTGCTTTGTCTATCGATCATCAACTAACATGGATGTGTCCTCACCTTTTGTGATGTGTTTCGATAACGCTGATTCTTAACTTGCATTGAAAAGCACATTAGCTGAGAGAGCTTTTAATGGAGATTAATCGAAATTGCTGTAGTTGTATTTATGGGGCGATCAACCTGAGAAGGGAAGAAGGACCTAAAAACGCTTGGTCCTGATTAGCCCATATTCTGACCAAACAAGATATGCCCCCTTTGGGTCAGTAGCTGATTCCTGGCATATCAGTCCAGGCGATGTTTGGTTATTTCAAGCCATCGAACTCCTTTCAGAACGTTAACTGAGGACAGGTACTTGAGTCTCACTCAGCTGTGGAAGTCAGTAGTCTTAGTGACTTCAACGTCTACACCAAGAAATGTCTTCCGCTTTCCTCGCTTACATACAGATCTTCCTGGCCGTGAGGCTAAATTCTCTTCTATGAACAACTTCCTTACTCAACTTTTCTACATTCCATTCATGACACCTAAGCTGCCGGAAAAACTGGTCTACTTGTTTTCGACATGATGGGAAGTACTACATAAAAGAGTCCACGCTGCGGCAACTGTTACATAGTTATTCACTGTTTGGCCACTGGCGCCCTGAAGCAATTTTGTTCTGGTGAGAACACCAGCATGGGGCGAAGGGACTCAAGTGTGACAGTTGAGCTGGTGACGTTTCATGAATCCCGGTGGATTGGTGATGTCTTCTCAGTGTTGGAAGACTGTTTGTGCAGGATGCCAATGGCCCAAGGGCGGTTCAATCGTGGCAGCGAACCATTGAAACCCCGGACAGCCAACTCATTCGCCTTGATAGCTGTCGTCTATTTGGACGAAAACCTCTGGACAAGCCACATCAGTGGTTCGAAGCGCTGACAATCATGGCTCAGCTGGGAACCTACGCAACCGCTCGCTAACGCGACATGCTTTAGCCTAGGCATGGTAATAAGTACATTTATACTGCTACCTTCATACTACTACAGTTACTTCCATGTTTTGAGCTGTCACCTTAAATCCGCAGGATCTTATTCCCATAAATTATTCAACAGTAAATAAATCTGGCATCTAGAATATTTATCTGTCTGGCTTGTACGTAGTTTATGGCTGTTGTTGTCAATGGTGATGGGTGTATGGATTCTTCGCAGGACTGGTTCTCTGGATTCCTTTCAAATGTCACTGGCCATGCCGTTCCGTGTTATTAGTCGTGCAGTCAGATGAAGCGTGGAAACCAAGCGTATTTCGCTCCATAGGTTGGCTGCTTATCAACCTTAGTGAGAGCCATACGAAGGTAACCACTGTTTTGATTTTGTTTCTAACAGATCTCGATTAGTTAAACGGAACAACGGAGCTCGTTCTGGAACTGTCACAAAATACTGTAAACATTTGGTTAGATCAGATACTAATACGATCCGTATCATTTCACCCTCCGCTCAATTACAAACGATTGTGTTCCTGAGATGCGTGCCGATATTTTCATTGATAATTTCTTGTGTTATCCCTAGTAATTAACCGTTTTTAGCTCCTATATGCGTTGGAAAGATTCTTACCTCGTTTCATTTCACCTTGGCGTTCCTATAGGCTTACCATGTACAACCTTTGGGCCACGCATTAGCCAGCAACAAGAGGTTGGCTCCAGCCCGTGGCCCACCAGTTGGCCCACTCTGCGCTGAGTGTGGGAGTCACTTCAATGTTTGGGGTCCATTTTGGTGTGGCCCTCTTCACAGTCGCTCATTTTTGTCTGGTTTTCTCACCACTTTGGGATGTCCTCCAAAGGTCCCTATTCCTCCTGTGGCACAGAACGGCGATGACTGCAGCACCGCACTCCCGCAATCTGATAAGACAGATCGGATCCCCCGAGGTTAGTCTTATGTCCACCTCATTAATCATTCTGTGGATATTATAATGTAGTCTCCGTCAAATCAGATCACTAGGTCCTTTTGGTCAGTGTAATGATCACGAACGTTTCATTTTGTCCACACTGAATGTTTTGGTGAAAGTGGTCCTCAAAAGTTGTATGGTAATCAGCTTTCGTTGTAGAATACTTTTTACTCCCCAATCACATTTTGTGTGAACTAAATCATACAGCCTATCTTTTAGTGGGTTCCGTATGGGACACAGAGTCGGGTGCGTTCCCCTCCGTCGCGCTGTATGTCTTTTATCTATTGCTTGGTACACAGATCGCTATCCTGCTTTACTCTTGACAAATGTTAATTCATTTGTCTGAAGTGTTTGAAATCAGTGTGTGTTTGCTGATGCTCAACGTGTCGCAGAAGATAGCTAGACAATAAAATATGTCAAGTTTTATCTCAGCTGTGCTCACTCATAGTAGTTTTTCTGCGTTTATGCTTCTGCTATGCTTCTGTTAAACATGTCTGGAACACTTGTTCCGCGTCTATGCGGTCCTACTCGATAATACAGTCGTTGGATGTGTGGGTTATGTGGTTATATTAGTTTTATGTAAAAGGACGAAACCGTAGACAACACAATCAGTCAACCGCCTTAGTTAGTTCTTAGCGACCTCCATAATTTTAATGCGGTTTTCTATGCGATTTCGACTGGACCTGTAATCGGCAGCAAAACAGCCGTAGTTTTTTTCAGTCCGGTTCAGTTCACTGGTCATGGGCTAGTGAACCACCAACAATGGGTTCCGGTTTTGCTCTGCTACGTATGTTGTGGATGCAGCCTGGTTGCCCTCCACCAAATTGCGACCAGTTTCTGTGACTGTCTCGTATGTTCAAAATCCACTTCATATGGGTCACTGCTGCTTACAAAGTCCTTCTCTTTGCGTTGTGGTAAATTTTTGCTACCCATCAACGGCATCTGGAGTGCAGGAATTCTTTGGTCCGTAAGCTTGATCCACATTGGGAGTTTAATTACCACGACTGGAGACTACTGAACGAAAAACTAACAGCTATGGAACAATGTTGGGTTGTTCTTTTTAAACTACCGGAATGTATACTCATATGAGCTAACGTGCATACCGGATTTGCTGCAATTGGCGACCCGGAATTTGCAGAACGGTATCCGTACGCTATTTACTATGGGGAATCCACCGGATTACCAGTCCCAGAAGTCTGAGCACTTGTATAATCTCAAGCCAGGGATTAATTGTCTGGATTCTGGAGACTGCGGTCGCCTGATGAGCCCCAAGCAGGGTTAAACTAGTGGTGACTTTTTACGCATTGTCCCATACTACTGATATTTAATAGGAGTAGTTCACTTTATCTGCACAAACATCTAACCGCATCCCCTGCACCTCGATGTTGTCCTGTTGAGTTCATTTTTGATCATTTCATGCCCAGAAAAATGCTTTTCGGAAGCATAAAACCCAGGAACTCGATAGTAACATTATTCTGTAATCCATTTCATCCCTCAGACCCTTCCAACAACGTTTATCCAAGCGGTGCAGAGTTGGGGCTCCCAATGCCTGAAGGATTTTCCTTTGCTCCAGATTTAACAGATCCTGATTTAAATGATAAAGCCAGTAGTCGGTTTGGGACATTCAAGCGAATCGTTGGAATGTGCACCATGGCCTTTGAGGAACTCCCGGATGTCGTATTCTATCATAGAATTGATCACCTGACTGCCGTACTGGGTATGCAGGTTCCAGCTTTGTTGGAGCTACAGTACGTTCCCACCTATTTGGCATCATTCATTCCTTCGTTTTTCAACCCGAAAGTCTGATAATCTTTTTTGAACAATACTGATAACATCATGGAGCTTTACTGTCACTTCCATTGGTCGATCGCATGTTGTTAACCGTTCACGATAACCCCTTACTCCTAGCAAACCGGGAACCAAGTCCAGGTTACAGCGCAGCAGGCAAAACTGGTCTATGGTTTTTGGTGACTACTGAAATGTTACGTCCCTAGGACTGGAGTACATCACTTGACCATAGGGGATCTGAAATTACGTTTGAATAATCTAGGTTTATTTTATGCGAATGCGTTGATTGCTCGAAATCCAGGGAACATGAAAGGCTCGTGTTGATTTTTTCATAGGCTGACCTGTTCTTTCTAAATAATCTCCCTTCGACGCTTCCACAACATTAAGCAATTCGTTGCGAAACCTAATGTGATAGTGTTTTTTTTAAGTTTTCTGGGACTCACATGGATTGTGTCGTGTAAAATTCGGTGTTTTACACATTCACCCCATCTTATTTTGTTGTACTGTTATTAGTAGAAGCTTCCAAATAGCTGTGAACCATTTATCGTCTTCCTTCGATTTTTAGCTCTCCATTCTTGAATGCTGGTTATCGCATTTCCTGCTCCCACGCAGAAGCTAACACGTTCAAAACCGACGCGACCATGTCATTTATTTGGGATGTGTTACTGACGTTCCATCGCATTTCTGCTCCCACGCAGAAACTAACACGTTCAAAACCGACGCGCCCATGTCATTTATTTGGGATGTGTTACTGACGTTCCGTCGGAGGTTTCAGTCGTTGGAAAAAGCACCCAAGTCACCAACATCATCTGCCACAAGTGATGAATCTGAATCCGGGGAACTGGAAACTGCGAATGGAAAGCAAGAATCGATCCAACGAAAACAGGCCAGAAGACGAACAAATCGGCAGCACCGTCGCAAACGTCTCGAATCGCTAGGTCCGGAACAAGCTGCCGAACTAGCCTCTTTTCGTGCGCATCGAGGTCAGGTACGAGCACAGTTACTCTCTCGACCCATCAATTCAAACGTGGATCTGACCATACATCCAGACGCCAACCCTCCTTCGCGAACCGACGGGCTGGTCAGGTTGGTATCTCTGACGTTCCTCCAGTAGTCTCTCTCATGTCCACTGCTGGTCTTACCACTACTACTGCTACAACTCACTACGCATCCGGTTTTCTATACTAGTATGTTAGGTTTTGTAACTCTTTGATCAAAACTACCTACTCGGAAGTAGTTGTGCTCTCTCTGCGTTAAGTAGAATGCCCAGCTTCTGCGTATTATTGATTACGATGATTCGTGTACAGCCTAAGACTGCTTAGGTACGCAGATGCGATAACTTTTGTCCTAATGCTTTTGGACTTGCTTTAGGCGTTCATTAGTCTGTTATCTAACTGCACTTTAAGAAGCACTGTAAAGAAGTTATACTATTTCCACGAAGGAAACCTGTGGGTAGTTTCCTTTATGGAGATATGCTCCGATCTCTCGATTGTCCCTCCGACTGAAACATGAGGCGGCCTGCAGCACATTCATGTCGAGAAGTTATGCTATTATTTCCCCTTTATGGTGATATTCGCTTAACTGAAACCATTGAACTGGTGGCATACGTGAGTCTCGTTGTTTTAACTGTGAATTGAGATGCTACTGAAATAAACCCCAAGTAGCCTGGTCATTCTATTGAGTAGTAGCTTGATATTATTGCTTATTTGCACAAAGGTAAGTGGGTGAACACAGTGTGTGCAGTCTACTGCAAGCTAGGCTGGCTTAGATTATTTGGGCAGGTCATTAGAAAGACGTAGGAGCACTAACCCGGCCTCCGTATCTCGACTTCTCTTGTCCAGGCTAGACAACCTGACAACCCCATCCCCGTGCTTTCTCCAGGTGGCAGCCAGGTACCGAAAGGGTGTTGCAGCTAAACGATTTTTAGTACCACGAATGAAATATTTTTCACTCCAACCAGATCGTTTTTGGAATCCAAGCTATTAAAGCGACGTGGTAGACCGCATTTGAAAGATATCGATAAGCTTAATACTTGCTGCTAGTTCTAGTAATTCAATTGTCGAAAGGACGAGATCACTAAATGTCTTTGCAGCTTGTCTCTAAACAAACCAGTTATGATTGACATTCCATCTGGTCCAAGTCAATCTATCAATCCTGTCTGCGGAATCGCTCTCAAAGTGCAGTTTTGGCAAAAGTTTCCGCTCTATAAAAAATTCTGCAGAATGCTTTATGGAAACGGCACAGGCTACTTACAGGCTCGTGAATCGCTCTACTGCGTAGACATGGAGCATAACATCAAGACATGGTCGATGAATCACTCACATGCGAACATCATGCAGCGTGTGTTATTGATTTTTTACTCTCAAACGGATTCCTTATTCTTTCGCCATTGGTTTCCTACCACGATGGGGCCAGTTGCTGCGCAGAATCAGGTGACTTGAAATGCAAGCATTCTTACCACCATCACTGATACTGTGAATTCTGATTCGCTTGCATTTTCCCTGAACTAACGTTCATTCAGTGAACGGAACAAATGATTCCGTACTTTTACTGTTTCTCTGAGCAGTTAGTTGTTACTGTCAACATTAACGGCAATATCAGGTTTGTTCTAAAATTCCAGACGGACCGTTATATACTATGGCACATGGCCCAGATATGGACAAATACTATTTAATTTGAATGCGTATGATACGACTAGAAGTTAAACACGTTCGGTACACTATAACAATCAAACACCTAAGCTTATTATGATGAGCATCACGGGAAGATGAGTCGCGATCGGACAGGACGATATCTTAGCTTCAAGACGCTTCCATGTAGGTTTTTCTACTTTTGATCTTCCCACGGTATTGTCGCCCCTTGTAGAAATCCTAACTTTTCATCCTACAGAGGGTACTCGACTGTCACCCTTTTCACTTCTATTACCGCTGGATTTTAGCGGAGCTACGCTCACCGGCATGTCGAACTATACTGTTCCTCTTCAATGCTCTCCTCAGCTTATAGCCGCTCTAAGGGGTATTTATTATTCCTCCTTTATCTCACTTTTCTCTTTCCCTACATTTTTTCAGATATCAGCCAAATCCGGAGAAGTTCTGGGGACCAAAAGCCAGACCCAAAATGCTGAAAACAGATTCGGGATAAGGCCTTGTTTACTGAGTTTTCGAATCCCCATGTATATATTTTTCTTCACTTAATAAGCCTTCCTTCGAATCTTGTATCTTGTCTTCTTGGTTGCTTGGCACCTACTAGGAGATCATGTATGCTCACCAGAGCTACGTTACACATATCCAGTTCCTTGCAAATATTCGATTTGAAACATCCTAGCAAGAGTTTGTTTCCATCACATCTGTCGTGCTTGCCCCCTCCATCAGTGTTATTTTCATCTACCACTGAGTTCCACGGTTTGGTCGGTGAAATGTGGATGGAAACCCGAACTCTTTATTCTGAAGTTTCAGAGAAATACAATGGGATAGGAAATCTTGAAAGTCCTAATATGCGTGCCGAAACATGGGACCACCACATGGTTAAATTACTTTCGTGGACAAATAGTCCTCAAACAACAAGACAATGTTGTCCGCATAATCCAACTTTAAGAATCTCTTCAGGTCCAATTTCGATACCTAGAATCGTGGTCTCTTGGGGTGTACGTTCACGGTGATGTCGAGGACAAAACTGAACAAGAGAGATTGGATAACTAATGCATTCCGCCGCTGGTTGTGAAGGTGATTCTGGACAGTTCACTGTACACCCTAGCCCAACCGGTTTGGGGAGGGGGGTGGCACAACGCATGTTCATGAACTTTGAGGACGCCACCTAACTAGGAATTTTAGATGAGCCGTAGGGTCGAGGTCCCTCCTAAAGTCGAGGATAACCACAATTGCTGATCAGCGGTACGCGTGGCACTACTCAAACAGCTAACGTAATATAAAAATCAATGCACTCTCTGCCAGGTCGAAATTCTGCTTGATACTGTCCACTTGTATCTCACGTGCCGAAAATTAGTATCGGAATACAAAGGAAACCAGTGGGCGTGTGGAACTTATACCTGTGTGGTTGGAGCAGTCGGTTTGGTTACCTTTTTTCGAAACATGGGACCGACGAATGCGTACAGCCCGTTGACATTGAGCAGGCCCCAGCCAGTGTCATTTCTCATCATATCGGACAAATTGACCCTTCAAAACGATTTTCATTCGCGTTTTTTTAGCGGATGCTCTTCATAACTTGCGATGGGCATCCTTGATTATCAGCAGAACGCCTAGTCTGACAAGCTGAGCCCATTTTAAACAGGGCCTTGACCGTACTCCCGTTTCTTGGTTTTCTTTCCAGGGTTCACAGTTCAGTCGAAGCCCTGAAAGGCCTGCCTCGGATGACCTTTCCGTAGGGTCACAGGCATTCACGGAGACAGAGTTTCCCTCTGGAGTGAGGTTAAGCATTGGAGTATGATAAGGTACCATGATGATGATGGTGATCCCACTAGGATAGACCTTGTGACCTACTCATCGAACATGCGTGTGTCGTAAGACACGCTTTTATTAGAAGTCATTTTGTTGGAAACCGTAAAAACCGAAACGTGAAAGTGTTTTCATAACCGGTGCTCCGAAATACCTGTTCGAATCAATGGGAGCGAATCTCGCCCCGGGCGTTAGTGAGACCCGAATTTAACCTCCAAGCCCTAATGACGGATTAGAAGTCGGGCGTGCGGGAGTTAACTGTGTGGGATCTGTTCATCTTGAATCAATTTGATTCGAAGAACGGATATATATAGTCAACAACTTAGTGCCGACCTTTCTAACCCGGCCATCCCTAGAAGGAGGAAACAGCGCTGCCTCCATAAATATGGATATGGTGGTCGTCTGGAAAGAACACCTGACTGGCCTCACGCGCCTGTTACAGAGAACAGTGCGAATTTACTCCCAGGTGGGATTTAGTTGGGTCTCATTTTGATACCAACCTACTCCGCGAACGGAGAAAGTTCGTCATTTGCGTACCAGTTAGCGTTCGAGTGGAACATTAGGTTGTCTGACGGAAGTTCTGAGAATGCAAACATCTGCTGAGCCCCAAGAAGAGCGAAACTGGTTATGCGGTGCCAAACAGTGTAAGCAACCGTATGAGTAGTGTTCCGCTAAGGACACACAAAAGATGTATTTCGTAACGCCATTGTAAATAAGTGGTCACGTCGAAATTTTACACGAAAAATATATCCTAGCGCATCACAAATAGGGTATGGACTAATTAGCAGTTGACTACAAAGCTCTGTGGGTAGAGGGAAGTCAAGAAATAGGTTGAAGTCGGTCAGTCAAAGCCGACAGCAGTCAGCAGACATGCGGAAAGGAGGAGGGAGATACACTGACGGCAAACAACGAAGTTTAGATGCGGAAAGACGGAGTTTTGCCATCGATATGACGTAGGCGGAGATAACAGTCAGTTCCGATGGAACGTATTGCATACATCTGCAAGTCACCCCCAAGCTGGCGTGCATAGGCGCGCGACAGTGGTAGACCGAATCCGAATCTGATAAGAGAACCGAAGAACACAAAAGAAAATATGAATTTTATCCCTCAACCAGCCCCCACTCATGATGAAATGCCTCCAACCAAGCCGAAATTAGCAATGCTGAGAAAATAGCGCTCTAGTAATTAATGCTGAAGATTGGGCAACCTGAGACTTGCGACCCTACCGTGTTACCACCATTACTGTCCTTTCAGGCGGCAGTTTTCGATATGGAAAAACAGCACGGAGGATTCCCGTTGAAAAACAGCTGCGTATTTCTTATAAATGATCAAGATGCCTCTTCATATGCAGATCACTGGCCTCCTGAACATCTCCCAAAGTACGAAGGAAAATAGGGAAGGCAAACTCTACTCATGTGCTGGGGGCCTACTGTTGTGGAAATCCAGTGTTGGAATAGCAATGCGCCGACGAAGGACGTTGCGGTATTCGTTGTGCAGAGGACGAAAAATCGGAAGCGTGTAAACTGGACTTAAAGAATTCAACGACGTAATAAAATTCGCCAACAGTGGAGGTACCTGCTTCCTAGTTTTCATTACAATCCATCGGGCTCTCTAGACAGCTGCTAGGTATGTGGGACGGTGCTATGATTATCGTTCGCATTTGTGCTGACCGGCGAGGTAGCCAAAAGACTACCGGAATTAAGCAAGGTAACGAAACGAAAGGTAATGGTAAAAGTAAACGGTATGCAGGTCGTTGTAGGAGAACAACTCCAAGAAACAAACGGAATGTCTTAGCCCCGTTTGCTTCCTCATACTACAAAGGAACATCACACACAGAGACCAGTGTATGGAAATGTGGAGTGACTCCCAGCTAAAGAACACACCAAAAAAGCCAGCGGGTCCAAATTATTCATGATAGTCGATAATACAAGAAACACGCTCAACAAGGACCACCTGGAAACTTCCCAAATGATCTCCCGAGGTCCAAAGTACACAAAAAGCACATTAAAGTCGTTCCACCGTGTGACGGAAGTCCAAATGATACTGTCGATGAATACACGCAGGACGCGGCAATGCGCTACGGATTCATTTGACTTCGTGTTTTTTTGCGCGTGATGACCCCGTCCGCGGCAAAAATCTATCAAGATCTGGGAAAATTGTTCGGTTTGTTTGATATGCTCACAATTGCGGCTCTCTGTTACCGGATAGAACGAAACTGGTTCGTCCAAAATAGGAAATCATCCGATTACAGAAGCGCCGGACTAATGTATCAGTCCAAAGGTAACTGCTCCTTCAAGGGTATAGTTGAGAACTTTTTCATGACTTTTCTTCCCAAGACGGACCTTTTTGCGACTATCGTAGCACAGACTGTAGTCCATAGTGTTCTAGCAACGTGTAGGGTAACACCTGTTCACACTTAGCATAAAATCGACTGTCAACCCCAAAAAATACTGCTTTGTACTCTTACACAGGAATGGAAGGCCATGAGAGGAATCGAGATGAAAAAACTTTGGAAAACACTTCCTATCAGTGTTCGGATCTTAACAACAAACCACCACCACCCCCCGTAAATCTGCACACAAACAAAAGAGCTTCCAGAGCTGATCAAATATCGACCACTAGATGACCAGCTCTGTTCAGTGTGGAAAAGACTTTTACACACGAGATGGCTTGGTGATCTTCAAGGTATTGTGTTCTTAACTAATCCGGTCAGTTTTATTTGGCACGGATATGACCATTTGAGATATAGTCGACCCAGAATACGGACGACACAGCAGGGTCACCCAGCTGGTCAGCTATTCATATTCTGCGAGCAGTGATAAGCGATACTTGAAGGATCATGGTGTTTGCGCATGACCACAAGCAGACTATGATCGAATGCGTGGACGAGAGGTCAACACAGGAAAATATCACACGTCCACATGATGACTAGTAGCCAAGGAATAAAAATAAATTCAATTTGATAAGAAATGCTATAACTCGGAAGAGTTTTCGACCTCAAGAGTAGCCCAAAACTAAATAGCATATCCCAGGTATTTCAGACGCAGTCGACAAATGTAGAATATCGAGTAATGGAGTACCTGACAGTGAATCTTGAAGTTGAGTGCAGCAAACTTAGGTTGAGTGAAGGCGTACTAATAACAATAAGACCACCATTGGCTGACTCAAAAATATCTGTTGGTCGTATAAGTGAGGCCGATCTATGCCAAAAGACCGAGAAACACTGTACAGTTGTCTCATTCTCATTGGGAACTATCGGCAGGGCGCATGTCATGAAACTCTGAGAATTTCCGGTCCGGGATCTTCCGGCAATCAGTTTGGTCATTTTACCGCTCGGCAACGAGGGCCTAATCGGTAGTGTGATAAACTCACCTTCACGAGATACATTGCCACTCATCTGTGGATCAATGAATCCACATCACGTGTTGACTGCCTGGTCAAGTGGTGACTTCTCAAAGGGAAGCAGGAATTCAGTGCTTCCTGGACTTTCAATATAGATCGGTTTACTTACAGGACGGAATCTTTATTGGAAATTCTCAAATCTCCCCATACCATCATCAATTCCAGTAGCTCAGATGAAGAACTTCGCCGCATCTGCACGTGAAGCAGTAGATACCGCGTAACAAAGAGAATCGCTTTTTTTAAGTGGTAAGTTCTGTGTGCAGAGAAGCCGCACAAAATATGCCTCTCTCGGGGCGATTTTCGATTATAGGAATATCGCCTTGAACGCCAGCGTCAGATAGGGTAATCATTCTGGTACTCTGAGCTTCAGTTCTGTTTGTGATTTCGCTATGCTATAACGCCTTATAAATGTCTTCGGGTAGCCTGTCTCAGTTTCCGTACGTTCTGTTATCAGCGCAACCAATCAAATCAAGCACCTTTTCGGTGCCTAGCAGCCATGTCAACGGGAGAAGGCATGAGAACCGAGATACTGCCAGGTTGGCCAAGTCTACACAGGAGAAATCGAGATACTGAGGTTGGGTTCGAACCACGGACCTTCCGGTACGTAATCTGGTGCCTTAACCACTGAGATATTCCGATCCCATACATATAAACAACCCACCATTTCGGTATTTCTGGATTTCCATGGCGCATTCCACTTGTTTGACCGAGCTATTCGTTTCAAACATGCTTTCCCGGTAAGGATGCACCCACTTTGTGGGTGCAAAATAGATGCTAAGGACAGGCAGTCACTTGCGACCCAGGGTAAGGTACTGGAAGTCGTGGCGCGTTTTACGTTGTTAGTACTGACGGTAGAGTGACAGATGGAGCCAGAGCACGAAACTCCAAGGCCCGGGTCGCGTTTGCTAATTTCCAGCGCCTGTGGCGTCAAAGCGGTATATCCCTGAAAATCAGGGGACTTGTGCATCAAGCTAGTGTGAGGGCTGCTTTCTTGTATGACTGTGAGACGTAGCCTCTTTGAGCAGCTGAAATGACACCTTCAGGGCTGACGCCGGCAAATCCGCAACGAGGCAATTGGAAAGCGAGTGTCTGGTTGTACAGTGAGGATAGAGGACTGTGTCCAGCGACAGGTGTGTTGGTTACGCCACATGTTGCGCATGCCGAGCCGTTGTTTACCCAGTTCAGAGTGGTGGAGGTCAACCTTTGGCCAGACAGGGGTGTGTGAAATATAACGAAAAGTTCGGGTATTTCCGCGCGATTCGCCTTCCAGGTGGTGGTCTGCCATGTGCATGTTTGGATACGCCGCAACATATGGCCGCTTAAAATGTTAGTGGCGTCCTTGTGGTTATTTTCTATTCAGTGTCTGAATGGGTGCCTGGAGGCTTAGGCAGCGAAGCATCCGCATTGAACACCGATGTTATGCTGTCGATTGTGACGACACAGAAGACAAAGTCGTATCAATCGGCGCTATATGCCACTTGGAATTGACTCTCAATGCTGGCATCATGAAAGATCTTTCTTCAAAAAGGGGAAGTGGTGAAGGGCATAGGCCTGCCAGGGTCGGACCGGAAAACATTAGTCTGAGAACGCCTACTCATGGCTGGACAGCACAAGATCAATCAATGTTGCTTCCACATAACATGCGGACCACACATAGTTTCCTTCTGAGCCGTAACTTCGGTTTAAGTCTTGCGTCTACACTCGCTGGCGGAATCGAAAGTACTCGCTCAAAGGCAGTTTCTTCCTCGTCTTTGCGTATTGAAAATTTCACCTTGTTTGGCTACAAAGCGTTTGCAACCCAATCGCCAGGTTTCAAGCACTTCATCTATAAAGCCAGCTCTGTTTCCCGAATAGATCGAAAATGTAATAAAAGGTAAGACTACAAATATTAGATGACTGCCGCACGAGACGGGTCTGCTTTATTCGCTAGAACTTTAACACCACAATCGGTCCCACTCGACTTACCCATGAATACTCTTTGTGACTTGATGTTGCGTGATACTGCAGAAAATCTTATTACTCGGTAGTATTTGGGACGAGGCACCAGCGTTCAAGGGTAGATCGATATCATCCGTCTGAGATAACCGGGCGTGCGGGCCTAACGCGCCACCGGTGGCAGTGGGGGGCGGAAGTACATTGGGTTCTTTGACAACAGAATGTGAACCATGCTTAGTGGACGCCTGTTCCCAACCGGCTTCTACTTTGGCAGCTGCCGGTGTGGACACATGGTATTCCCATATGGCGTGTTCTAGATCTGATGGAATCCCACCAGCGTGGTCTGTGATTCGGATCCAAAAATCCACTTCATCTGATGCCAAGGTAACGTAGATGGGTGGTAGTTTGCCAGCAGTCCTACATCTGGACTCGATAGTGGCACTAAAAAGGGATGGAAAATAGTTAGCGTAAGTATGGTCATAGTGTGGTTCTACATTAAACTGAGGAGAGCGCGGCCATAACGACTTACCTTGGTACACAAAAACATGTCTTGGCAATAGGCAGCGCCTTCGCGAGGATCGATGATTACCTACCAGCGGTCAGATAATGGCCTGAACAGGTCAACGCCTGGCTTAAACAAAAACCCACGCCTAATTGGAATTTAACAGCTCCATAAAATGGTTGTTAGAGGGGTAGTTCAGAGAGTAGGAACGAAACAGTCCTGTGTCTGACCGTTCTGATGAGTGTTGATAAGGAAGAAAGCGCCAAAGTGAATGAGCTTTCGAGATCCCAACATATCTCCCATAAAACATAAGTATTGTTGCACCGAAGTGGACATCACGCAGCATTTGCCCAGTTCTGTCGATAAGGAAGAAAGCGCCAAAGTGACTGAGCTTTTGAGATCCCAACATATCTCTCATAAAACATAAGTATTGTTACACCAAAGTGGACATCACGCAGCATTTGCCCAGTTTTTACCTGAGTACCTCTTTCGACAATGTAACGGTAGCCAGGAGAGATCAGCATTGGTTAGCTAGTTGATTAACACGCTCAAATCAAATTAAATCGTTCAGCTGTAGGAAACTTTCGGTGCTTAGTTGCCATGCCACCCGAAAGAAGCACGAGGGCTGGGATACTGCCAGGTTGCCCATGCCTAGACAGGGGAAGTCGAGAGGAAGAGGTCGGGTTCGAACGACGGACCTTCCGGTCAATAAAATCGTGCTCTTGCCACTGAGCCATCTCGCCCAAAACGCTCAAGATATCGCGGGTATCTGAAAGTCAGCACTCCCGATACAAATGCATTGTACAGTGTACAAATACATACACAACACATACCATGCCATGGACTGTGGAGTGTCAGTCAAACAATAACACAAAGTAGTGGTAATACTGTAAAAAGTGTAGTATGTACATCATATTTGCGATCTAATTTGGTGATAACAAGACTCAGCTGAATCCCTGGGGAATCTGCTGTTTTTTCATGAATCACCACACTGGTTGTACTACACAATGACCGCCGCTTGATTTATTTGGTAAGCAAATGAAGGTATTTCGCCAAATGCATACCAGTTAGTGTTCAGGTGAGGCACACGGTTGACTGAGAGAAACTCAGTGACTATCTGATGAGCCCCAAGAAGATTGGAACAGGTCGTGGATTGTCGAGAAGTTTTCAGCAACAATGGTAGAGATGTTTCGTCAAGAGATATCCCGGATACTGTACCAAGTGAAAGTTAATGAGACGTTTGCATAGCACGTTCAATTGGAAAATATGATGAAGAAAAAACAAGAGGATTAGTTGAGTCTCCTCCCAACACCAACTTCGTTTGTAGATGGATATATTTTGTCAATCGCGCAGGACAAATAAGCAACTTCCCAAAGATGAATCAGAAACAAAGCACACTGCATCATAGCCATGCAAAAATATGGTCAATGAGAGGTCGCAATACAAGGTGTATTAGATTTTTAAAGTTAATGGAGGTTAATTCACAACAAAACACCATCAGGGAAAGGCGATCACCCTCAGAACTACTCAGGCCATTTTCCTTTTGTGGGGTTCTGTTGCAGGTCTAATGAGGATGCCCATATCAAACCGGAACCTCGGCTCTTCCGGATGCCCCATGACCCGCTCAAGGTTGAAAAGTCTATCTAATCAAAGGATTTCAATAGAACCGGATGTATTTGGCCTTGGACGAAGCTGCAGTGACTGCTGGAAGTAAAATAAGACAATGCTTCTAATCACATCACAACGGACCCCAGATTCAGAATGACGCAGGCAGAGAGGTGACCAGCCTTGATTGATAACCATATATTTGAGGCGAAATCGCCGGGCTCACCAAAGAATTCGCTCATCAGCAAGTGGCACAATCCACTATAGGTTTCGGTGAGAATGAGCACGTGATGCGTGCGGATCAACGCATTGTCTTGAACGGAGATTCGATCCACTCTTAGTGGATTTCAGCATAAAATACAAACGATAAGTAACTCGTTTTTCACTGTGCCGTAGCAGCTTTTTTCAGAGGAGTTTAGAAACTCTTCGAAAGAATGTTTGAGTTTCAGAATTCCTCGACCGATAGACCTTTCAGCGTCAGGTCACATCACGGGGGCCGCGTGGTTAAAGGGGTAGATTCTTCACAACGATCAGCTATGCGTATCCGAAAGTTGGTATTAAAACTCATACTTAATTGCAACCTTTGTGTTTCCATCATCCTACGGTCGTATGAGATGCGTATTGCTGGTGAAGTCCAACTATGATGAAACTTAGTGTTTTCGGTTTGTCCTTATAGGCCAATTTCATCTGTAGAAAAAACTTTGGGTTTGAAACCTAAACGTCTTCCCACCACCTACAATGTATTTCGTATATGCCAAAAAGAGTCGAACAAAGTTAGTTTGAATCAAGATGCTCACCGGAAAGCGTTTTTAAACAGCTCCGTTAAGATATAGTCCAACGGTATTCGAATGTAAGGGAAAACTAAGTCGGTTTGGCCAGCGAGGATTACTTCCGGGGCCATACCATACTCCAGTTGAAACATCCCGCTGAGCAAGAGATAAATTATGAGCAAATCAATTGACAGACCGAGATATGAAGGAAGTTAGCTGTAGACATCACAAGTATGACAATCAAGCATAATGAACTATCTATTGTGCACAGAAAGTCTCAGGATCTCGTGCATACTATCGTCCATACTAACATCGACACCGATGTTGGACGCTGGGTTCTGAACTGCAAGGTTGTAGATTAGCATTTTATGGGGGACGCTCAACAGCAGATGCTCAACAGTAGAGTTCGAGTGTTATCTACTATTCTGAAGCGCACTCGCAGTGAGTAGGCCAGACAGTGGATAGGCATAGTCAGTCACTGATGGGTGACATAGATCTATGCATTCCATGCTGAAGGTCCGGTTGTCCGCGCCAGTACGGTCAATTTTAGCGTCAAAAATGGGAGGATTTCGAGTTTGTTCTCCCCGACAGTTTCCGTCTTAACGTCAGTATGCACAGTGCTTCTTAGTTCTCTGCTTACTCACGGAGCCACTATTGACATAACCACACTTTTCTCGCCCATTTACGCTTACCCCTCAAATACAATAACAAAAAAGTAAAGGAATTACGGATTGTGGCCGTATTTCGAGAGGAATAAACAACTTGTCTTCCGATAGCCTGCACAGCTATGCAATCCAACTATGGAACGTCCTGTTCTGGCGAGGATTCTTGGAAGAACGTTTTTTGACATGCACAAAAAAGCTGGCCTATCGGACAATCAACAAAGTGACAACAAATACAATGTGTCAAAAACAAACAGAGATAACCGGTTATTTTTCAGTCGCCCGAAAGGCTCTTTTGCAATTAACTCATATGCAAGAGATACTATCATCCACTCATTGTCCGACCTGATTAACCTTTCTCGGATTTGTGAACCCTGTAGGATCGTTTGCAAACACAAACTGAGTAGGAACCTTCACACTTATTGAGTGAGATTAGGCGTCCAACAATGTGACGATTCCGGTTGAATCTATTGGTTCATCATTTCTGGTTGATGATTTGCCTCCCTCTCATGATCTTGGACTAAAATCTCTTCCACAAGCTACGCGTTGAAGGTGACAGGTTTGGTGCATGAGTGCCATTTTTGCCAATGTCATTAACCATTGGTGAGTTGAGTCCCTGGGTCTCCATCCCGGGAGACTGCAGTTGCCAACCCGATTAAGTCTACTGGTTGGTGTTTTCGTACTTCGTTGCCAGGTCATACACTATCCACCACTCGGTCGCTTCCACTCAGCACAGGGCTGGGCAAAAAGCCCAGTGAGGCAGACGGTCTTCTGGCGTGCGGAGTACATGTCCTAACTAGCGTAACCTATGAGGCTAAAGTAATTCATTTATCACGGGAGAGTTCCTTCTTCTCAAGACCGTCTGGCGTGTCTCATCAATACTAATCCGATGTCCCCACCAAACCTGACCAATGCTTTGGAGACACTGATGGTCAAAAACTGACGTCTTCCGTATGCCCTCTGCGTGTAGGGGTCAGGTTCTGATCCATAAAGCAGTATGGATCGCACCACCGCAGTGTAAGCCCTACTCTTGGTAGACAAACTGACGTCACTTCGGCGCCTTAGGTGTCGGAGGTTGGCAAAAGTTGCCTTGGCCTTACCGCCTCGAGAAATAATGTCATCATCTCCATCCGGTCGACCGGAACTTATACAACTGCCCAGGTAAACACATTTATCTACGTCGATTGGCCTACCTGCAAGCAAAAGGTGTGGGTTTGATCCCACTCAATCTTTTAGCAGTATTTTACATTTTACAGGTGTGAATCGGCCAGGTGTTCACACGTGTGTTGTGCGGGAAACACGGGCCAACGACCATCAATCCCTGGCAGAAAACCAATGTTTCGGTAAATAGTATAAAGTTCCTGTGCTGTTCGATCCATCAGGATCCACATCGTACATATAGGTTCGACGTAGTTGCGACAAAAGCCTGTAAGGACTAAGAACGGGAGTGACGTTAACTTCATCCAGCGACCACTTGAGGGCAACTTGATTCAATCTAGAACGATTGAAAAATGACCATATCGTACACCGGGGTCGGGATGACTGAGTAACAACGTTCACTCGGGGTAACTGTCACCGACAAAAACCGACCGATGGACGAGGGACTCACCTAACAAGCTCTATTTGTTTCTTGACTACGTCTGTCAGTGCCATCCGCTGATCAATGATTCCCACATGGTGAGGCTGAAGTGTAATGAGGCACGTTGAGCATTTACGTGTTGGGCTCCAAGGCACACATAATGGGAGTTACAGTCATGTTGGAGGATGACACAGTACTCGACAACTGTCATCAAAACGAACCATCAGACGAAATAACAAAGGATAGGTTGATGTAATGGCGTATCAAGTCCGATTAACGATGAACAGCTTATTAACAAAGCTTAAAGCACTTTGGTAAACCTTTCCAGCAGAATAATTCCTTTAGGTGTTGGTTGATGAAGTACTAAGGAGCTGAATTGATGTGGGATTGTTGTGGATGTTCCAGCCTTGGGATTATGAATTCATTACAAACCACCTACTCACCCGGTCCCGTGAAAACCCGTTAGAAACCATTCCAAACCTCTGCATCCAATATTTGTGACAAGGAAGACTCCACGTGTCTCTGTAATCATTAGTCGCCTAACTAAAGGTCGGAGAGTAGCATGTATGCAAAACCTTCATAGTGTCCAAACCAGGCATCTAGTTGATAGCTTATATTACTAGCAATTTTACTTCAAGTTGAGCAGTGGCCCTGAAATGAAGGTCTCCTCCGATATACTCGTTGGCCAGTGTGAACAGTCCACGCTTTCTTATTCTGATGAGTTCCTTAGGGCAAACAATGATGAGACTCAGAGTAAGGAAAAGAGATAAAAGGACAAAACGATCTGACGGTAAGCATTTCAAAAGAAGGCTATCCTCATGACATGGTGTCAAAATACGCCGGTAAGCTGAGAATCGAGAGGAAATCCTGTTTTCTGGTCATAGTTGTCGATGCGCGTTTCACAGTTTTTTTAGGAAGCGGTACACATTAAAGATAAAATGTGAAAGCGAGCTTTCTCACCAGTTGCTCAGATATGTGTGGTTTGCTTTCACAGGTTGAGTTGACATTCTAATTCATACCACTTGTTCGGCGGGGATTCACAGAAGCAGTAAAACGTGTGCGAGAAATAAAACTGTTGAGAACTATCAGTAAGTTGTTCAGATCTAGGTTGCACGCCACCTAACTAAATTCACTGTGCCAGCTGATGAGCGGCTGTGGAAAAACGTTTGGCGTCACAAGTTCCGGCATTGATTCGTGTTCTATAAAAGTGAGTATAACGCTTATCTGATGATTCTGTGTAAGCAAATCAAAAAGTCCTCAGATCTTGGCACGGAATTCCGAGTGAGGTCTACGTCCAACCGAGATCGTCACACATTTCGAAAACAAGTGAGTTGTTTCCGGCAGCCTCTCCAAGGAATTATGTAAAATATCTGAACTTTAGTTTACTACCAAGTGTGATGGTCGCGATGACTGAAGCTTAACCGTACCGCCATTATTTTTGGGATCAATGAAACGAATGAGGATAGGTAGCGGGGAAGCGAAGCTCAAAGGCAGCTGGGTTGGGACGATGAATTTGGCATGCTTTGATGTGCTCTGTGGCCTAGTATAGTTGTATAGTCTGGTATGACAAAGCCGCAGTAGCCGTTTATTGAATGGCCTAAACACATCACACAGCCAGGCTTCGGCTCATTGCAAACGTGTAGTCCATACTCATATGCATACCAGAGTAAGGAGCAATGCTCTTCGCTGCGAAGTCGTTTATTAGCAAACACGAACCCAGCAGCTACAAGTCGTCAGACATGAAAGTGAACGCCTCATATGCGGAGTTTTTTTAAAATGAATATCCCCAAGCGTCCTCTTGGACTTCCCTGAACGTCCATTGAATATTAGACAATAGTACCCGTACAATGCAAAGCGGCTCCATAATTTTCGTAGCAACCTTCACCTTCGATCGCATGCGGGAGCGGGGATATCAGATCATTGAATAGTTGCATGCTTCATCGGTAGTATACACAGTTACACCAGTAGCGAACGCCCCGCAGATGCTTTCGGAAACACAAATCACCTCCTTACAGTCTATCACAGTGCAACAACCAGGGGGGGGGCAGCAGTAGCAGATCTAGAGAAAAGCAATTCCATCACAACATGGTCGCACAGAACAAAACTAACCTCATCCTTCAAAGGCACAACTCACTCTATTTTCTCGCAGAGCCAGATGATGCTCTGCAAGCAATCGTGTGGCCATTCGGGAAGTTAAAGTTCGATTCAGAAAATCCGTAATGAGATTTGTATCCTGAAGGAAAAGAGTAACCTGACCAGTAACCAAAAGTAAGATTAATAATAATAGCAGACAAAAGTTTCCGCCCACGAATGCTCTAAAGTTTTGCGACAAAGAAGTCCTTACCAAGAAACAAGTATACCGGTACCCGGAAAAACCTTTTTGTGGCACATCAAGAAGCTAATTTTTACTGAAAAGCCGAGGAGGCCTGAACAACTGTTTCATCCTCGTTGGAAACCATCAGTAATGCGCATCTCACGAAATTCCAGAGTCTGTGACTTTCCACCCTGGACCAGCAGTTTGAACATTCTGCGCTGGAATTGGATTCAAAGATGCAAACAGAGGGCCTGATCGGCACTCAGTAATGCTGATCCTTTAAATGGTTCTTGACATCATCTATTCACGAGTATGTGCTGGTGAATCTGCATCTCCTTTTGTCTTCACCTGAGATCTGCAAGATATGGCTATCAATCAATGTCGCTGGGGTTGTTGCTGTAGTAGGCAAATTTTATCCACTGTCTGAATGAGTGCTTGGTGATCTAGGCACCCCAGGATGATTGTAGTAGGCTAGCATCAGGTACCTTATTTTTTATCGTCTTAGGCCTTCCAAATAAATTATGGGTGTGCGATAGCGAAGAATCGGTGTTGAACACTGATGTTGTGCCACTGATGATGACTTCACCTGCGAAGTTATTCTGCACCATCAACCTAAATTACATTCACATACAGAATTCCTTCATCACCAAACACATTTTGGACACGGTAGCACACCAGGCTCATTACGCACTCGGAAAGAGTCAAAGTTTCGATTTGGAATTACGCAGAGATCTAATAACATAACGGCAAATTTTTTTCGAGGCCAGCATGACGGGAAGGGGAGGATTGTAAAAGGAGGCGCGGTTGAAATCCCAATGTGCAAAACACATTGCACCATAACATTGGTCCTTTTCAAAACCATTTGTGGGAAAAGATTTTTATGATCATTTCGGATTGCTTGTCGCGAAAATAGGGGCTTATTTCCATGTTTGGTAGAGGTCACTGCTCTCTAAACCGAATTCGTGTATCCAGGAAGACAGCTCAGCGGTTAGAAGGAAAATTGACTGATCAGAAAGTCCGTGGTTCGAGCCCGACATCTGCCTCTCGACTTCCCTTGTCTAAGCTTGGGCAAACTGGCAGTATCCCAGCCCTCATGCTTTCTTCTGCTGGTACGACAGTTGAACAATCGATTGTGCGGGTACACGTGCAATTTTATCGCTTCAGCGCAACAAAACATTTGACTCAGGAGGTTTGCATCATACACTCTTCAAAGGTGGTGATCCTCTCATGGCTAACTTGACGACTTTACCCCAATATATCTGGAGGTATAACGACAGAATGGAGCGCCTCGACGGTGAGTCCTATATTGAGAAAAAGGGCGCAATAACACTGTGCAAAAACAACCGGGGCATCAGTCTAGTGGCCACAATTTTTAAGACGCTTTCTGGCATTATCATATGCAGGGCGATCGACCATCGGGAGCGTCAGGTCTGCGGGAATGAATTTAGACTTCGTCATGGCCGGGATTGCATCGATCACATCTTCACTTATCGGTAAATGTTGGAACTACTCCATCACACAACCGACAATGGCTTTGTCACTCTGGGTCTGCTTTCGACTCCGTTCATCGTCAGGAACTGTGGTGAAGCCTGGCAATCAAGTGTCACTTTTAAATTCCTATATTTTACAAACGCCGTCTGTGTATCCCTCGGCGGACGCGAACGTGTTTACAGTTAGCTTTCTGCTGAGTTCGCCACATCCAGTCGTCTCAGGCGGTGTTTTGTGTCTCCCTTTACTTTGCCTCCGGAACTGAAGTACTGTTATCATGCTTCCTTACCTGCCTCTAACACCACGGAGATTGAAATACGTCCGGGCTTTTATTCACGCATACTGAGTACGCTAACGATATTGCCCTCCTGGATCAGAAACTTGGGAAATTAAAACTATTTTATGTAATTATATATACATGTATTATAATTTTATATGTATAATTATGTGCTGCACAGTGCATCTCATCGCTGTTCCAAACGGTGTTGACACCTCACCCTCGATCAGTTTCTCTAAGAAAATAAGTTATTTTTTTTCTAAGTCTCCAGGTGAATCCTTCCCTTCAAATTCTTCAACTTTTACCAAGAAGGTCCACTGTTTGACATGGTTGCTGTGTAGAGCTGGCAACCTAATCAAATCCCGTGAATCGAAACTGATGGAAATGTCAACACCGAATTTTATTCAAGGTTCACTTTAAAGCTGGCAAAACAATTGACCTTAGGTATGTTGCATTATATGAAAGCGTTGATAAACGGCAAACCCTTCTTGCCATCAGTTCCTCAACGTGCAGCATCTGACCTCGATTTGTCCAGTCTCATATATGATTAGACGCAAGCTTTTGCACCGGTTTTTATAGCACCATTGGTCGTGTCGATGAAATTAACCCATCAATATGAATCACGCCGAACCCGTTGTGGCTTACCGAACGGCGGTTACCAGACTCGTTTCACTGTGCCTGTTGGAACATGCGCCTTGAGTCTCGGTTGATTTATTTAACACTGTGCCATGGTGATGCGGATGGGCCAAGTGAAATTTGATTGGGATCGCCTGGCGCCACAAAAGAGAAAGAAACGCGCGCAAAGTCTGCGATGCCATATATCGCTGAGTTGACCGATTGTGGACTAATGTGATCAATGATTTTCGTAAACCAGCGATAATCGGTCGGTTTAGCATTATGGATCGAAGTGATACAACAGAGTATGCATTTCGTTCCATGCCATTGAGTTTCGTCTGGTTTGTCTTAATGGTCTCAGCATGCACTCGATAGTCACAATAACGCAAAAGCGAACGACCTCTTGGACCTTCAACGTCTCACTGACAGCCGGAGTTCATTGAAGTGGATGTGGCAGTGAAGATATCAATAGTTTAAAACAAGCCTAAATAGAGTGGAAGGAATTATGAAGTGATGCCAGGCTTTCCCAAGTGTATAAATGAAGGGATAAATACCGCCACAGCATTACCGAAGATTTTACTTATTTCACTAACCAAACAACGACAAGGATACGGACAGTTATCAGGTAGCAAAAATAACTCATTGAAGTAGTTTACCAAGATCATGACTAATCTTTCTGGTTGCATGAAAGGCTCGACATGGTTTGTCAAACATAACTCATTACAACCTGATCCTAAATTACTATCACTTCGGAAAAAGCCTAGCTAAACGTGGTTAGACAAAAGGCAGTACCACGACGGTATATAACTCACCGTAATTCGCGACCTGCACTCTTTGAAGCCCGTTGCTAACATACTAATTACCGAGCTGTGTTCATTCAATATAGTCCGTAAGAGCTTGCTGAATCTCGTCTCGTCTTCGAACGTTTCCACTGGTGGTTCTTCGGTGAGCCTTCGAAATGACTTCAAGTACATATTATGCTAGGTGAGAAAGTTGTCATCCCAGGTGAAGGATAGGAATAACCAACCACAGCCAGAATGGTTGGATTACATCCAACAATGAACGGCAGAGACCGAAAATCCACGATTCGATGAGCTATGCGAACAGGCAATTCTCTCTGCATGTACTGTGCACTTCGCTACAAATCAATTGACGTGCACGATAAAGTTTGCAGGACATACCAACAAGTGGTTTCCATTGGGATGTTTCCCAGTGTAAAGTAGGCTCTCCGGAGTTAGCTGAACCTCTTGCTACAAAAGTATATCAAGAAGATACGAGGTGGTCACCTTGGCTGCCGCCACATCCACTGCCGATTGTGAGTAGTAGGCAGAAACAGAATCCAAGCGTTCCTTGTCTGACATGATATCGGGTGTCAGTTGATAGGAGCGGCTCTCCCAATGAGTGAAACGACCATGTATGGTCTGAACATGTGGAGGAATATCCGAAATTTTGTATATAAAGTAAAGGATAAGACGGTTGAACCGTGTGGTCTTGGTAGGATTCATGGTCCTGAAGCAGATAGAAAGGTTTCCAATCAATTTGAAAATTTTTGGGACCGATTGGGCAGTCATCTTTTCAGAGAGGTTTGGTCTGAAACGATGACCAGCCAATCGGTCCCAAACATTTTGCCCAGCAATAAATCCACCGATTGTTCACCAAACTTCTCTGAAAAGATAGAAAGGTTTTTATTCCCGCCTCTGTTTGGCACGGATGGCAGCGACCAAAGGCGACAAACAAATAAGGCTGCATTAGAGTACACCAACTGAACAGTCAGAATGTAGAATATGCTATCGTAGTGCTTGTTCGTGTCACACGTCTAATCAGAGACAACCACCCAACTGAGACTCAGAATTGTCCAATATGCCCACCAGCGCGTGGAAAAATACGTTTTCCAGTTAGCACGTTTCCTGCGTATTCCACTATGCGAACCGAAATAAGAATAAGAGCTAATATACTATCGCACTGCATAAGATCACTTGGGCGTTTGTGAAAAAAAAACAATCAAAATTGTGACTGAACTTCCCGAATGTTGAAACGACACACCTACGGCATCCGTCGGGGAGCGATGGGCAGGTTTTCTATAATTTACTTGCAAGGCCTCGCAACCCTTAGCCGAACGGACCTTGCGGAGGCGAATTTCAGTAGGTAACCAGTCACACAGGCAACCAGTCGATGGCCTGTAAGAATGTCTATCTTGGTATAATTTCCACCAAACACTTGTATGCATATGTTCTATGGAACATGACGATCTTTCAAATAGGGCAAGATTGCTCGGTAATTAAAGGACGAATTTACTGACTGTAAGGTCAGTGGTTCGAACTTGACCTCTACATCTCGACTGCTCCTGTCTGGGCTAGGGCACCGGCATAGCATTAGGCTGGACAATTTTTTTTAGTTGCGATCAAAATTTCAAGGTTGCTGTGCTCCCTCACATTGATCCAAAGGAACTCGTCTCAATCCAGGGCAATATCAGTCTGGTAATGTAGAAACAGGTTTTATTAGGTCAAAGCAGCACCATGCGCCGCTCTCTGCGTACTTCACTGGCTGTTCATAACGGATTCAAGGACTGATACGAAGGATCGATGTTTTCGCACAAGCTTCCCAAGTCGGCTAGGTGCTTGTCATTCAGCGGCCTCAGTTCGCCTGAAAGGCACAAGCGAAAGTGTGGCGCCACTTTAAGGGTTCTGTCACGAAGAGACTGGACCTTACCGTGGTGTGACGGTTTGCGCACCTCAGTGATCAATTGAGCTATACTGGAGAGTATCCCGCGAAGCTCAAAGAGTCTCTCATACCAGGTTGGTCACGGTTTGCGTCAGTGATCAATTGAGCTATACTGGAGAGTATCCCGCGAAGCTCAAAGAGTCTCTCATACCAGGTTGGTCAACGATTAGATAGAGGACGAACACAGTCTCCTGGCCCTCCAGGTTGGGGGTTGGAACATGTGGCGACTTGTTCCGTAGAAATGGTAATGCATTTGCATTTCCCGCCAAACACCGCTGCCTTGCGGTTAGGCTTTTGAGCCAAAGGCTTTGGTTGAGGACCCTAATCGTCCTCCTGTCTAGGTGTGGGCGCCCTGGCAGTATCCCAGCCCACGTACAACCATGAATTGCACATACACAAATAAACTCATGCCATATCGGCCGTCGCGTGGTGCCATCAGCCGGGTCGCCTTACTTGCTGCATACAGCAGGGCGGGTAAGCGAAAACAGGCTACTGCTGACGCCTCCCTCCTTTCTCCTTCACATACTTTTTCTTCCCCCTCTCCCCACCCCATTAATAACTCTCTCCTTGTAGGCCCAGCACCTAGGACTGATGACTCCGTTCGTCATACATCGGTTTTGCGTGCAGCATCTGCTCGTCACATGGTGCCAACATCTTCAGGAATCTCTAAATCAGTCCTCAAGCCTCGACACCCACTCTATCTGGCCGCGTTCAATGT